ATGTTGATGGCGTCTTCGATGTATAGATTAAAAAGTAGCGGTGACAGTGTGCATCCCTGCCTGACTCCCTTTCTAATATTTACTTCTCTACGTTGTATCCCTAGATCTATAACTGCCTGTTGCTCTTTATACAAACTAAGTATCACTCTTCTATCTTTGTAACTCATCCCTAAATTTTTAAGTATATTTAACATCTTGTCCCATTTAACATTGTCAAAAGCTTTCTCTAAATCTACAAATCCTATGTACGTACTCTTACCTTTTCTTTCGTTTTCTCTATTGTTACCCGTAAAGCTAGAATGGCCTCCCGCGTTCCTCTATTTCTCCTAAACCCAAATTGATCTTCCGCTAGTTCTTCCGCCCTTTTTTCTATCCTCCTCTGTACAATTTTCTAGTTAAGATTTTTGACGCATGGGAAGTTAAGCTAATTGTTCGAAATGTCTCGCACCTATTTATAGTGCACTTCAGTAAATTAAAGATAAAATAATTTCAGAAAGAAAACAAATATTAGTTATGAAATGTTTATTTATTTAATTTTAAAATGGTTGGTTGCCGTTGGGAGGCAATTGATGTATAATTAGGAGGGAATTCGACATACCGAAAATTTTAACCCTAATTAAAAACAAATATATGGGAGGAGAACTAGGCATTATCCGGCATATTCGGCTGTTCATTACAAGTAGAAAAAAAGTCAAAATGTAAATACCTACGGTCGGTTTGTATCAATCGAATTTTTCGGATTGTTTAATGTTGTTGCCGCTGTCAGCAACAACTTTTCCCCATTAATTTGAGGTAATCTGTGGAGGGTTGAATATAAATTCAGATTAACGCTTAATTAAATTATTAGATATTAACCTCTATCAAGCATAAACAATATTTTTTTCAAATTAAGAATCTGTTTGTTTGTGCACGTGACATAGTACAGTAGTATAACATTATTCATCATGTTACATTTCTATCATCAATCCATCAGGATTTTTTTTAAAGTTAAAATTATTTTCTCGAATTTCAACTTCTTAACTGATTCTATCATACGATTAGCATATGAGGAAAGTCAGCTCATCTTTATTTATTTCTTACACTTTGGTAGGTTAAACATGGCGATTATTACACGAGTACACCAAGCTTGATGAATGAGCGTATCAAGGTGAATAATGATCCACAAGTTTAGCGCCCTGGTGTGGGTGGTTATTAATGAAACGTTTGTAAAAATAAAATAGCAATGGCAACGTTCATTGGACCCTCTATATGAACTACTATATGTTAGAAACAGCTTTAAAGACTTGAAATACATACGCTTTTAAATTTAATCAGTTCTTATACACTATGTCTGAACAGTATTCCAGAATATTCGAAAAGTAATATATGGATGCAGTGTAGAGTGCATCTCGTTATAGCACCACAACGTATAGGATATAAAAAGTATGCACAAAAAGTACCCCTGTTAACGAGCCGTCAACGATTGAGAACAGTTGCCACTGTAGCACCTGACGAAACATACATACCTATTCGTTACCTTCGCAACATCTGGTACGTAGACAGGCCAATTGCACGTAGTCAGTAGTAATAAGCCGCACTTGTTAACGTTCGATTGGTAAAGTTACTGCTATTACCACAAAACACAAAAATAGGTTGAGTGAAAATATCAAACAAAAATCAATGAATTCACATGCAGAATATGCGGACATGGTCGTCGCATGTAGGCAGTGTAATGTGAATGCACTGAAGGCATCATCCGAATACAATCATCATTGCTGGAGCAATTTAATTTTCTTGTAGTAGAAAAAGACCACTAATTGTAAATCCTTAAAGGATACCTAGGTTACTGAATGAACTTGAAAGCTAAATAATACTGAATAGTTATTACAATAAACTAAAACAAAAACAGTTAAGTTTTTCTTTGTATCCACATCTGATAACCCGATTAATTCTAGGATAGAACTAATTTAATTTGCTTTTTAATTATTTACATGCGAAATTAGGTCAATCGTTAGGGAGTTGGATTCGAAAATTACAGAAAAATCTGGAAATTACTTCAAAGATTGTTTCGTTTTCACTACAAAATGAAATTCTTCCCCCTTCGGTGAGATCTGCGTTGGGCACCATATTGCGCAGAAGATGTCAAAATTACGTTGTCTGTACAATCTCGCCGAAAGGGGAAAAATCTGGATTTCTATTGTTAAGTAAAAACGAAGTCATTAAAGCAATTTCCAGGTTTCTCGGTCGTACTTCTGAATGCGACCTTTCCTGGCTCCTTATTTCAGTTTATGTCTCATCCTTAACACATTTGAATCGAATTTGTGGGTATCATAAGTATTAATTCCTTGATTTTTATTATTCCAGGAAAAGATCCTTTGGAACAACGAAGAACACTCCGTTTGTACGAAGACCACCGCCTACTGGGTGGTCCACTACGTCACCGAAGACGTCTACTACACGTGTTATTACCTCTTTCGAATAATATTCGTTCACCTAGTGCCCTGTTTCGCCCTGGTCGTCTTGAACGTGTTACTGTTCAAAGCACTGAGGCAAGCCCAACACCGACGAGAGCAGCTGCTCTCAAAAAAGACTCAAAAAACCGAATGTAAAAAACTGAGAGATTCAAACTGCACCACACTGATGTTAATCGTTGTTGTTACGGTATTTCTAACGGTCGAAATACCTTTAGCGGTCGTCAGTACTCTACACGTTTTATCATCCGGTATCACCGAAGAATTTCTAGACTACTACATGGTCAATGCAGTAGTCCTGTTCATCAATTTCTTCATCATTCTCAGTTATCCTATCAATTTTGCCATTTACTGTGGCATGTCGAGGCAGTTTCGAGAGACATTTAAAGAACTGTTTAATAAGGGAGCCGAAATTCGAAACGGAGGTTCCTCAAGGTATTCTTTAGTCAATGGACCCAGAACATGCACCAACGAAACAGTACTTTAAGTACCATTTTATGTTATGTATCATATAATGTGTAATACGAACCGATCTACTACCCATTGAAGTGTAACTAGCATAGCAGAAGACATTACCAGAAGAGTGCACAGGTAAAAATATTTACAACTACCTACATCATACTGTTTCATAAGAATTTTATTACGTTTGGAATATCTAAAATCCTATTTTCCTTTAATTTTTTCTTTTTTTGGTATCACTTCTTTTGCAAATGAGATTTTCATGAATCCTCGGGGGTTAAAACGGGCAAAATTACGAGCCCTTAAAATCTTTACAAAGAATGAACAAGAAAAGAGTGGGGTTTGATGTCACCGAAATCAGAAATGTAAACAACAAAATTGCTGCAGCCTGTTAAAGGACAAATTTAAGAATTTCTAGTTAAATATTTTCATATGCTGACTCTCTTAAGTTTATATCTTTTGGGAATGTCTTTAATATTATATTTCACACACACACCAAGCGAGTTAACTTTAAACTAAACTTTGACTTATGAAAACTTATGCGTCGTCATTTTTCTACCCTCGCATTTGGTGCTGTCATCCCCCCCTTCGTTTTTCGGTATTGTTGTTTTCTGTATACCTTTATGGGGAACAGTGATGGTACCTAAATACATACACATCAATACACTGTCCTCCGAACTGGATGTACATGCGAAGGAATCTATCTGATAATTCAGGGTGCTCCTCCGGTTAATTTCATACCCTGCCGAATGACTACAACAACGAAGTAGAATAGCCGCCGTAAACAATAAAATGTATATGCGTACCGATGGGTGTTACGTTATCTTGGAATTGATGCAATTCTTTTGTGGGAAAAAGGACAGATGAAAAAGTCACCCCACTACTATGATTTACCCACCCTGTGAAGAAACAAGAGTGACGGTAAAAATCTGACCGATTTTGGAAAATCTTGCCATATCCTTTTCAGATAATTCTTAGATAATTCTTAATTCCTAATACCTACATGTGACAGAAGAAAATCAAGCAAATATAAAGGGTGAAAAGTTCTTTTGTTGCTTTACATAATCATACAAACGTTCGCTTTACAACTTTAAGTGCTAGACTGAAATATAAATAAGAAGTTAAAGTAATCCAGGGGGTGGATCGGAAATTAAAAATTTATTTTATTTTTTATGAATGTACAGGAGGCAAACAAACGATTATTATCAATGAATAATTATATACAAACGATAAACAAATGATTACAGTAGTNATAAAGTGAAAGATTACCTGTGGAATGTTACTGCTCCGGTCTTTGCCTAAGTGATTCAAGAGAACCACAGAAACACTTGGAGTAGGACAGACGGACGCGGAATCGAACCTGTGTCCTCTCTAATTCTAAGCAATCGTCTAAATTTCTAGGCCAAAGGCTATTGCCACTCGGGCGTAGAACCAATGCCGTCAATCCTAAGACACGTACCTCCACTCTTTCCTATCCTGAGCTAATCTTTGCATTTCCCTGAAACTAGAACAACCCACAACCTTAACTATTTGCGAACAGTAATCTAACCTAGGTCTACCTCTACCCCTGTTAACTCCCGTTTCTGCCTCTAATATGTCTCTGACTAGCCTCTCATGCCTGAGAAGATGTCCTACTTACCTATCTCTTCTATTTCTTATTGACTTCCATAGAGTCCTGTGTTCTCCTATTCTTTCTAATACCTCTTCATTTCTAACCTTTTCTTTTCCACCGCGCCCACAATACAATATCACAAAAATCAAAAATTATGTCCTAACTTGTACATTGTACTCTGTAGCGAGAACAATTCGTTAGTTGATTTTTTTGCATACATGGGACTACAATCTCAGTAACGAATAAAAGATGGTTCACGGCTGGGAAAGCAAATTTTACTTTCCGGTATCCGGTATCCATGTTCTTTTTTTTTTGTTTTCACATGAAAAATTACGAAATTACGAGCTGGACTTTTCCACACGTGTGACAATAGGTCGGCAGAAGAAAATTCCCAAATGGGATCCCAATTCCGGTCGACCAGAAAGAATTTGCTTCGCCCAAGTTGAGCGGAAAAAAAAATCTCGCCCGGAATACTGCCCTCCATTGTGTCATATTTTTATGAAATGTTAACTAATTATCAACTAATTTGTTGTCGAATCTTACATTATCTATTCATCTAACTACGTATAATGAATGTAATATTTAAATAATAAAATAGTGAATCGCTCTTTTTCTGATTAATTCACATAAAATAATTCGAAGTGGTGTGTATTCTGTTGAAACTGTCAGACGCGAATCGCGATTTCGATTTTTGTTGGATCTTATCAGCGCGTGCAGACAGCGCCGTCAGAACACAGACTAACTTTTACCTGCTGTCTTAACAGCGCGTTTTAGAAAATACCACAAACATCGCAATAAACGCCATTTTGCAAATGGCGTACAATGCTAATTGTAGCATCGTACTACAGATGGCGTTCACCGCGCCATTTGGGGTATTTTCTAAAACGCGCTGTTAAGACAGCAGGTGAAAGTTGGTCTGGGTTCTGACGGCGCTGTCTGCGACGCGCTGAGGAGATCCAACAAAGATCGAAGTCGCGATCCGCGTCTGGCAGTTTCGATAGAATACAGACCACTTCGAATTATTTTATTCGATTAAGCTAACGTGCCTATCACGTTGAGGTTGGCTACGCCGGGATTCGTTTTCAGCAAGTAGATATCCACACAAGTGGACCTTGTTGGAGCATACGTAATCCTAAAATGTAGCATCGT